AGAGACACGGGGAGAGAGACACGGGGGAGAGAGACACGGGGAGAGAGACACGGGGGAGAGAGACACGGGGGAGAGAGACACGGGGGAGAGAGACACGGGGGAGAGAGACACGGGGAGAGAGACATGGGGAGGGAGACATGGGGGGGGAGACACGGGGGGGGGGGGGGGGGAGACACGGGGGAGAGAGACACGGGGGAGAGAGACACGGGGAGAGAGACACGGGGAGAGAGAGACACGGGGGAGAGAGACACGGGGAGAGACACACGGGGTTAGAGACACGGGGGGAGAGACACGGGGAGGGAGACACGGGGGGGGAGACACGGGGGGGGGGGGGGAGACACGGGGGAGAGAGACACGGGGGATAGAGACACGGGGAGAGAGACACGGGGGAGAGAGACACTGAGAGAGAGACACGGGGTTAGAGACACGGGGAGAGAGACACGGGGAGAGAGACAAGGGGAGAGAGAGACACGGGGAGAGAGAGACACGGGGAGAGAGAGAGACACGGGGGGAGAGACACGGGGAGAGAGAGACACGGGGAGAGAGACACGGGGAGAGAGACACGGGGAGAGAGAGACACGGGGAGAGAGACACGGGGAGAGAGAGACACACGGGGAGAGAGAGACACGGGGAGAGAGAGACACGGGGAGAGAGAGACACGGGGAGAGAGACACGGGGAGAGAGAGACACGGGGAGAGCGAGACACGGGGAGAGAGAGACACGGGGAGAGAGAGACACGGGGAGAGAGAGACACGGGGAGAGAGAGACACGGGGAGAGAGACACGGGGAGAGAGACACGGGGAGAGAGACACGGGGAGAGAGAGACACGGGGAGAGAGAGACACGGGGAGAGAGAGACACGGGGAGAGAGAGAGACACGGGGGGAGAGACACGGGGAGAGAGAGACACGGGGAGAGAGACACGGGGAGAGAGACACGGGGAGAGAGAGACACGGGGAGAGAGAGACACGGGGAGAGAGAGACACGGGGAGAGAGAGACACGGGGGGAGAGAGACACGGGGAGAGAGAGACACGGGGGGAGAGACACGGGGAGAGAGACACGGGGAGAGAGACACGGGGAGAGAGAGGGACACGGGGAGAGGGACACGGGGAGAGAGACACGGGGAGAGAGAGACACGGGGAGAGAGAGAGACAAGAGAGAGAGAGAGACACGGGGAGAGAGAGAGACACGGGGAGAGAGAGACACGGGGAGAGAGAGACACGGGGTGAGAGACACGGGGAGAGAGAGACACGGGGAGAGAGACACGGGGAGAGAGACACGGGGAGAGAGAGAGACACGGGGAGAGAGAGACACGGGGAGAGAGAGACACGGGGAGAGAGAGACACGGGGAGAGAGACACGGGGAGAGAGAGACACGTGGAGAGAGAGACACGGGGAGAGAGAGACACGGGGAGAGAGACACGGGGAGAGAGAGACACAGGGAGAGAGACACGGGGAGAGAGACACGGGGAGAGAGAGACACGGGGAGAGAGACACGGGGAGAGAGACACACGGGGAGAGAGAGACACGGGGAGAGAGAGACACGGGGAGAGAGAGACACGGGGAGAGAGACACGGGGAGAGAGAGACACACGGGGAGAGAGAGACACGGGGAGAGAGAGACACGGGGAGAGAGAGACACGGGGAGAGAGAGACACGGGGAGAGAGAGACACGGGGAGAGAGACACGGGGAGAGAGAGACACGGGGAGAGAGAGACACGGGGAGAGAGAGACACGGGGAGAGAGAGACACGGGGAGAGAGAGACACGGGGAGAGAGAGAGACACGGGGGGAGAGACACGGGGAGAGAGAGACACGGGGAGAGAGACACGGGGAGAGAGACACGGGGAGAGAGACACGGGGAGAGAGAGACACGGGGAGAGAGAGACACGGGGAGAGAGAGACACGGGGGGAGAGAGACACGGGGGGAGAGACACGGGGAGAGAGACACGGGGAGAGAGACATGGGGAGAGAGAGGGACACGGGGAGAGGGACACGGGGAGAGAGACACGGGGAGAGAGAGACACGGGGAGAGAGAGACACAGGGGGAGAGACACGGGGAGAGAGACACGGGGAGAGAGACACGGGGAGAGAGACAAGGGGAGAGAGAGACACGGGGAGAGAGAGACACGGGGAGAGAGAGACACGGGGGGAGAGAGACACGGGGAGAGAGAGACACGGGGAGAGAGAGACACGGGGAGAGAGAGATACGGGGAGAGAGAGACACGGGGAGAGAGAGACACGGGGAGAGAGACACGGGGAGAGAGAGACACGGGGAGAGAGACACGGGGAGAGAGAGAGACACGGGGAGAGAGAGACACGGGGAGAGAGAGACACGGGGAGAGAGAGACACGGGGAGAGAGAGACACGGGGTGAGAGAGAGACACGGGGGGAGAGACACGGGGAGAGAGAGACACGGGGAGAGAGACACGGGGAGAGAGACACGGGGAGAGAGACATGGGGAGAGAGACACGGGGAGAGAGAGACACGGGGAGAGAGAGACACGGGAAGAGAGAGACACGGGGAGAGAGAGAGACACGGGGGGAGAGACACGGGGAGAGAGAGACACAGGGAGAGAGAGACACGGGGAGAGAGAGACACGGGGGGAGAGAGACACGGGGGAGAGAGACACGGGGAGAGAGAGACACGGGGAGAGAGAGACACGGGGGGAGAGAGACACGGGGAGAGAGAGAGACACGGGGAGAGATAGAGACACCGGGAGAGAGAGACATGTGGAGAGAGAGACACGGAGAGAGAGACACGGGGAGAGAGAGACACGGGGAGAGAGAGACACGGGGAGAGAGAGAGAGACACGGGGAGAGAGACACGGGGAGAGAGAGACATGGGGAGAGAGACACAGGGAGAGAGAGAGACACGGGGAGAGAGAGACACGGAGAGAGAGACACGGGGAGAGAGACACAGGGAGAGAGAGACACGGGGAGAGAGAGACATGGGGGAGAGAGACACGGGGAGAGAGACACGGGGAGAGAGAGACGGGGAGAGATAGACACGGGGAGAGAGAGACACGGGGAGAGAGACACGGGGAGAGAGACACGGGGGAGAGAGACACGGGGAGAGAGACACGGGGGAGAGAGACACGGGGGAGAGAGACACGGGGGAGAGAGACACGGGGAGAGAGACATGGGGAGGGAGACACGGGGGGGGAGACACGGGGGGGGGGAGACACGGGGGAGAGAGACACGGGGGAGAGAGACACGGGGAGAGAGAGACACGGGGGAGAGAGACACGGGGTTAGAGACACGGGGGGAGAGACACGGGGAGGGAGACACGGGGGGGGGAGACACGGGGGGGGGAGACACGGGGGAGAGAGACACGGGGGAGAGAGACACGGGGAGAGAGACACGGGGAGAGAGAGACACGGGGGGGGGGAGACACGGGGAGAGAGACACGGGGGTATAGACACAAGGGAGGTGGAGACACGGGGATTGGGGGATAGTTGGGCACTAGTTAAGCGAGTTCTAGTAGAGTGGTAGTTGAGTGGTAGTTGAGTGGTAGTTTAGTGCTAGTTGAGTGCTAGTTGTCTCTGTGTGTAGAGACGTAGTTTAGTGCTAGTTGAGTGGTAGTTTAGTGCTAGTTTAGTGGTAGTTTAGTGCTAGTTGTCTCTGTGTGTGTAGAGTGGTAGTTGAGTGGTAGTTGAGTTGTAGTTGTCTCTGTGTGTGTAGAGTGGTAGTTTAGTGGTAGTTGTGTGGTAGTTTAGTGCTAGTCTAGTGGTAGTTGAGTGGTAGTTGTCTCTGTGTGTGTCGAGTGCTAGTAGAGTGGTAGTTGAGTGCTAGTCGAGTGCTAGTTCTCTCTGTGTGTGTAGAGTGGTAGTTGAGTGGTAGTTGAGTGGTAGTTGAGTGGTAGTTGTCTCTGTGTGTGTAGAGTGGTAGTTGAGTGGTAGTTGAGTTGTATTTGTCTCTGTGTGTAGAGTGGTAGTTGAGTGGTAGTTGAGTGGTAGTTGAGTGGTAGTTGTCTCTGTGTGTAGAGACGTAGTTTAGTGGTAGTAGAGTGGTAGTTTAGTGCTAGTTGAGTGGTAGTTGAGTGGTAGTTGTCTCTGAGTGTGTAGAGACGTAGTTGAGTGGTAGTTGAGTGGTAGTTGTCTCTGTGTGTGTAGAGACATAGTTGAGTGGTAGTTTAGTGCTAGTTTAGTGGTAGAGTGCTAGTTGTCTCTGTGTGTGTAGAGACGTAGTTGAGTGGTAGTAGAGTGGTAGTTTAGTGCTAGTTGAGTGGTAGTTGAGTGGTAGTTGTCTCTGTGTGTGTAGAGACGTAGTTTAGTGGTAGTTGAGTGCTAGTTGTCTCTGTGTGTGTAGAGACGTAGTTGAGTGGTAGTAGAGTGCTAGTTTAGTGCTAGTTGAGTGCTAGTTGAGTGCTAGTTGTCTCTGTGTGTGTAGAGACGTAGTTTAGTGGTAGTTGAGTGGTAGTTGTCTCTGTGTGTGTAGAGACGTAGTTGAGTGGTAGTTGAGTGGTAGTTGTCTCTGTGTGTGTAGAGACGTAGTTGAGTGGTAGTTGAGTGCTAGTTTAGTGCTAGTTTAGTGGTAGTAGAGTGGTAGTTTAGTGCTAGTTTAGTGGTAGTAGAGTGGTAGTTTAGTGCTAGTTGAGTGGTAGTTGTCTCTGTGTGTGTAGAGACGTATTTGAGTGGTATTTTAGTGGTAGTTTAGTGGTAGTAGAGTGGTAGTTTAGTGCTAGTTGAGTGGTAGTTGAGTGCTAGTTGTCTCTGTGTGTGTAGAGACGTAGTTTAGTGGTAGTAAAGTGGTAGTTTAGTGCTAGTTGAGTGGTAGTTGAGTGCTAGTTGTCTCTGTGTGTGTAGAGACGTAGTTTAGTGGTAGTAGAGTGCTAGTTGAGTGCTAGTTTATTGCTAGTTTAGTGGTAGTAGAGTGGTAGTTTAGTGCTAGTTGAGTGGTAGTTGAGTGCTAGTTGTCTCTCTGTGTGTGTAGAGACGTAGTTTAGTGGTAGTTGAGTGCTAGTTGAGTGCAAGTTGAGTGCTAGTTGTCTCTGTGTGTGTAGAGACGACTTCAACTTGGCCGTGCTGAAGGCGTTTGTGGAGCTCCACGAATTCACCAACCTGAACCTGGTGCAGGCACTCCGGTAAATCATTCATTCACTCATTCATTCATTCATTCACTCATTCATTCACTGATTCACTCATTCACTTATTCATTCACTCATTCACTCACTCATTCATTCACTCACTCATTCGCTCATTCACTCATTCATTCACTCACTCCTTCACTGATTCATTCACTCATTCACTCACTCATTCATTCACTCATTCACTCATTCATTCGCTTATTCATTCACTCACTCATTCATTCATTCACTCACTCATTTATTCACTCATTCATTCATTCACCCACTCATTCACTAACACATTCACTCATTCATTCACTCATTCACTCACTCATTCACTCATTCACTCACTCATTCATTCACTCACTCATTCACTCATTCACTCACTCATTCATTCACTCACTCACTCACTCATTGACGTATTCATTCACTCATTCATTCACTAATTCACTCATTCATTCACTAATTCACTCATTCATTCACTAATTCACTCACTCATTCACTCATTCATTCACTCATTCATTCACTCACTCATGCATTGACTCACTCATGCATTCATTCACTCATTCACTAATTCATTCACTCACTCATCCACTCACTTATTCACTCACTCATTCACTCACTCCTTCACTCATTCACTCAATCACTCATTCAATCACTCATTCAATCACTCATTCACTCATTAATTCACTCATTCATTCACTCATTCACTCAATCACTCATTCACTCATTCATTTACTCACTCATTCACTCATTCACTCACTCATCCACTCACTCATTCACTCAATCACTCACTCATACACTCATTCACTCACTCATTCACTAATTCACTCACTCATTCACTCAAGCACTCACTCATACACTCACTCATTCACTAATTCACTCACTAATTCACTCATTCATTCACTCATTCATTAACTCATTCACTCACTCATTCACTAATTCACTCACTCATTCACTCAATCACTCACTCATACACTCACTCATTCACTAATTCACTCACTCATTCACTCATTCACTCATTCACTCACTCATACACTCATTCCCTCACTCATTCCCTCACTCATTCACTCAGTCATTCACTCAGTCATTCACTCACTCATTCACTCATTCATTCAATGACTCATTCACTCACAGATGATGACGCTGATGATGATAATTATGATGCTGCTGATGATGATGACGCTGCTGGTGCTGATGATGCTGATGATGGTGATGCTGATGATGACGCTGCTGATGATGATGCTGCCGATGACGATGCCGATGACGCTGTTGATGATGATGATGCTGATGATGACGCTGTTGATGATGATGATGCTGATGATGATGACGCTGCTGATGACGCTGTTGATGATGACGCTGTTGATGCAGACAGTTCCTGTGGAGTTTCCGCCTTCCCGGCGAGGCGCAGAAGATCGACCGCATGATGGAGGCGTTCGCTGCACGCTACTGTCACTGTAACACCGGCGTCTTTGTGTCTACAGGTGACACACACAGTGACACACAGACACACACACACACAGTGACACACACACACACACACGCTACTGTCACTGTAACACCGGCGTCTTTGTGTCTACAGGTGACACACACACAGACACACACACACACACAGACACACACAGACACACAGACACACACACACACAGTGACACACACACACAGACACGCTACTGTCACTGTAACACCGGCGTCTTTGTGTCTACAGGTGACACACACACACACAGACACACAGACACGCTACTGTCACTGTAACACCGGCGTCTTTGTGTCTACAGGTGACACACACAGACACACACACACAGACACACACACACACACGCTACTGTCACTGTAACACCGGCGTCTTTGTGTCTACAGGTGACACACACACACAGTGACACACACACACAGACACACACACACAGACACGCTACTGTCACTGTAACACCGGCGTCTTTGTGTCTACAGGTGACACACACACACACACACAGACACGCTACTGTCACTGTAACACCGGCGTCTTTGTGTCTACAGGTGACACACACAGTGACACACACAGTGACACACACAGTGACACACACACACAGACACACACACAGACACACACAGACACACACACAGACACACACACAGACACACACACAGACACACACACAGTGACACACACACACACACGCTACTGTCACTGTAACACCGGCGTCTTTGTGTCTACAGGTGACACACACACACAGACACACACAGACACACACACAGTGACACACACACAGACACACACACAGACACGCTACTGTCACTGTAACACCGGCGTCTTTGTGTCTACAGGTGACACACACACATACAGACACACACACAGACACAGACAGACACACACACAGTGACACACAGTGACACACACACACAGACACACACAGACACACACACACACAGACACGCTACTGTCACTGTAACACCGGCGTCTTTGTGTCTACAGGTGACACACACACAGACACACAGTGACACACACACAGTGACACACACACACAGACACACACACACAGACACGCTACTGTCACTGTAACACCGGCGTCTTTGTGTCTACAGGTGACACACACACAGACACACACACAGACACACACACACACAGACACACACACACAGACACGCTACTGTCACTGTAACACCGGCGTCTTTGTGTCTACAGGTGACACACACAGTGACACACACACAGTGACACACACACACAGACACACACACAGTGACACACACACATACACACACACACACGCTACTGTCACTGTAACACCGGCGTCTTTGTGTCTACAGGTGACACACACACAGACACACACACAGACACACACACACACAGACACACACACACAGTGACACACACATACACACACACAGTGACACACACACACAGTGACACACACACACACACGCTACTGTCACTGTAACACCGGCGTCTTTGTGTCTACAGGTGACACACACACAGACACACACACAGACACGCTACTGTCACTGTAACACCGGCGTCTTTGTGTCTACAGGTGACACACACAGTGACACACACACAGTGACACACACACAGTGACACACACACACAGTGACACACACACACACACACACAGACACGCTACTGTCACTGTAACACCGGCGTCTTTGTGTCTACAGGTGACACACACAGTGACACACACACAGACACACACACACAGACACGCTACTGTCACTGTAACACCGGCGTCTTTGTGTCTACAGGTGACACACACAGTGACACACACACAGACACACACACACAGACACACTACTGTCACTGTAACACTGGTGTCTTTGTGTCTACAGGTGACACACACACAGTGACACACACACACAGTGACACACACACACACAGTGACACACACACAGACACACACACACAGACACATAGACACACACACACACATAGACACGCTACTGTCACTGTAACACCGGCGTCTTTGTGTCTACAGGTGACACACACACACACAGACACGCTACTGTCACTGTAACACCGGCGTCTTTGTGTCTACAGGTGACACACACACACAGACACACAGACAGTGACACACACAGACACGCTACTGTCACTGTAACACCGGCGTCTTTGTGTCTACAGGTGACACACACACACAGACACGCTACTGTCACTGTAACACCGGTGTCTTTGTGTCTACAGGTGACACACACACACAGACACACAGACAGTGACACACACAGACACGCTACTGTCACTGTAACACCGGTGTCTTTGTGTCTACAGGTGACACACACACAGACACAGTGACACACACACACAGACACGCTACTGTCACTGTAACACCGGCGTCTTTGTGTCTACAGGTGACACACACACACACACAGTGACACACACACACACACACAGACACGCTACTGTCACTGTAACACCGGCGTCTTTGTGTCTACAGGTGACACACACACACACACAGTGACACACACACACACACACAGTGACACATACACACACACACACACAGTGACACACAGTGACACACACATACACACACACAGTGACACACACACAGACACGCTACTGTCACTGTAACACCGGCGTCTTTGTGTCTACAGGTGACACACACAGTGACACACACACAGACACACACACACAGACACACACACACACAGACACACACACATACACACACACAGACACGCTACTGTCACTGTAACACCGGCGTCTTTGTGTCTACAGGTGACACACACAGACACACACACAGACACACACACACACAGACACACACACACACAGACACGCTACTGTCACTGTAACACCGGCGTCTTTGTGTCTACAGGTGACACACACAGTGACACAGTGACACACACATACACACACACAGACACACAGTGACACACACATACACACACACACACACGCTACTGTCACTGTAACACCGGCGTCTTTGTGTCTACAGGTGACACACAGACACACACACAGACACACACACAGACACACACACAGACACACACACACAGTGACACACACATACACACACACAGTGACACACACACACACACGCTACTGTCACTGTAACACCGGCGTCTTTGTGTCTACAGGTGACACACAGACACACACACAGACACACACACAGACACACACACACAGTGACACACACATACACACACACAGTGACACACACACACACACGCTACTGTCACTGTAACACCGGCGTCTTTGTGTCTACAGGTGACACACAGACACACACACAGACACACACACAGACACACACACACAGTGACACACACATACACACACACAGTGACACACACACACACACACGCTACTGTCACTGTAACACCGGCGTCTTTGTGTCTACAGGTGACACACACAGACACACACACACACACACAGACACGCTACTGTCACTGTAACACTGGCGTCTTTGTGTCTACAGGTGACACACACAGACACACACACACACACACAGACACGCTACTGTCACTGTAACACCGGTGTCTTTGTGTCTACAGGTGACACACACAGTGACACACACAGTGACACACAGTGACACACACAGTGACACACACACACACAGACACGCTACTGTCACTGTAACACCGGCGTCTTTGTGTCTACAGGTGACACACAGACACACACACACAGACACGCTACTGTCACTGTAACACCGGCGTCTTTGTGTCTACAGGTGACACACAGACACACACACACAGACACGCTACTGTCACTGTAACACCGGCGTCTTTGTGTCTACAGGTGACACACACAGTGACACACACAGTGACACACACACAGTGACACACACACAGTGACACACACAGTGACACACACACAGTGACACACACACACAGACACGCTACTGTCACTGTAACACCGGCGTCTTTGTGTCTACAGGTGACACACACACACAGACACACACACACACACACAGACACACACACACACAGACACACACACAGACACACACACACACAGACACACACACACACAGACACGCTACTGTCACTGTAACACCGGTGTCTTTGTGTCTACAGGTGACACACACACAGACACACACACACACACACACACACACACACAGACACACACACACAGACACACACACACAGTGACACACACACACAGTGACACACACACACAGACATGCTACTGTCACTGTAACACCGGCGTCTTTGTGTCTACAGGTGACACACACAGTGACACAGTGACACACAGTGACACATACACACACACACAGACACGCTACTGTCACTGTAACACCGGCGTCTTTGTGTCTACAGGTGACACACACACACAGACACACACAGTGACACACACACACACACAGTGACACACACAGACACACACACAGACACACACACAGACACGCTACTGTCACTGTAACACCGGTGTCTTTGTGTCTACAGGTGACACACACAGTGACACACACACAGACACACACACAGACACACACACAGACACGCTACTGTCACTGTAACACCGGTGTCTTTGTGTCTACAGGTGACACACACACACAGTGACACACACACAGTGACACACACACAGGTGACACACACAGTGACACACACAGTGACACACACACAGACACACACACAGACACACACACAGACACACACACACACAGACACACAGACACACACACAGACACACACACACAGTGACACACACACAGTGACACACACACACATAGACACACAGTGACACACACACAGACACACACACAGACACACACACACAGTGACACACACAGTGACACACACACACATAGACACACAGTGACACACACACACAGACACACACACACACGCTACTGTCACTGTAACACCGGCGTCTTTGTGTCTACAGGTGACACACACACACAGACACACAGACAGTGACACACACAGACACGCTACTGTCACTGTAACACCGGCGTCTTTGTGTCTACAGGTGACACACACACACAGACACGCTACTGTCACTGTAACACCGGTGTCTTTGTGTCTACAGGTGACACACACACACAGACACACAGACAGTGACACACACAGACAC